ACTTTAGCTGGAAAAACTCAAAGGCAGAACCACACAATCTGGTCCTTGCCTTTGGCAATGCTGGTTTTACTGGTGTGGGGTAGGGCATAGGTGCCCTTTTTCTTTTGAAAAATTGCTTATTTGCTTTACTGTATTCTGTGCAGATGAATGTTTTGTCTTCATGTTTGTATATGCATCACATGTGCCACCTGGTGTTCATGGAGGTCAGAAGAGGTCATTAGATTTCCTAGAACTGTAGTTACAGGTGATTATGAGCCGCCATGTGAGCGCTGGCAATTGATCCCCAGGAAGAGCAGCCAGTACTGCTTACCACCATCCATCAGCCATTCTAGTCCCCTATCAGGTTGGTTGGTTTGTTTTTCGCACCTGTCTTCATAAGCAAGTTGCAGGGGAAACACTGAGTTCCCTTCCTCACTGTCCTGACCCTGTGAACTCAGGACTTGTAAGGCTGGGACTGGCACTGAGCCTCAGAGACTTCTCTCTGCCATTTGGGGACTCTTCACAGAAGGCCTTCTCTGGGTCAGCAAGGGGCAGGTTTGAGCCACCCCTAGTGGCATTCCTCAGCAGGCAGAGACCAGCATGCATTCTCAACTGGCTGGACATGTGGACAAGACATGCCTTGTGTCTGTCGATCCCTGTCTGATCCATTTAGTCATCTCTGTGTCCCCTGAGAGCAGACTGATGTAGATGTCAGGTTGCTAGAATCAGTAAACTGTGGGGTTACCATCAACCACTATGTATGGGACTGCCTTAAGCAACCGATGCCCATATATTCCTTTCTTAATGCTGGTTTCTGGGGGAGCCAAGTCCAGGGAGCCTCAGACCTGCCAAGCACCAGCCCAGTTCTCAGTGAACCTGCTTTCCCTTCCGCTCAACACCTTGCCAGTTAAAATGGGGAATCAGTAAAGAGAAAGTCATTTTCACGTTCTGAACTTAACAATTCTCTTTTCCTATTGTGTTTTAGCTATCTAGGTAAACATAGGCACATACCACATAACAATGGACCACATATATGATTGTGACCCATGAGAGTATATCTCCTGGTGACATCAGAGACACCTTGGTTCCTGTGAGCACCCTGGAAGATGTTCTCATCACACTGAGATCAGCTGATAACGTAGGTCTCAGGATGTATCCCCATCTTAATAGCATAACTATACTTTTCCTCAACTTTTACTTTGCAGGAGGAAAACCCAGGTCCAGAGCATCTGTGGTTCTTGATGGGGGGGGAAGGGTGTCTCTCATGTTATCATAGCCTTCCGGCTATCACCATCTTGCTGTCCCAACATAACAGAGAGAAGGTAGATGTTCATCTTTTCTAAGTTTGTGGGCATATATTTAAACTACATCTTCCATTTCTGGTCTCCCAAACGTGTATCCATTCTACTTAAAAACCACATTTATTTTCCCTCAGTAGCCTTGAAAATCTGAACCGATTCTGGAATCAACACTAAAGTTAATCTTGAAGTCTCGGTTAAAAGTTCTCTAAGGCAGATGTGGGTGAGATGCCAGGAATGTCATCCTGAAGCAAGGCTCTTTCTGGCTGTGCACTGGGAACTACAGAAGTGACATATCCCAAAATACAGTGACGTGACACCCCCTCCCCACAGGGAGATTATCATTTTATTAGAAAGAAACCGAAGGGAAGCTGGGGTGGTGATGGAGTCTAAGCTCAGTAAGACATACTGTTAAGACTAGATTCTTCAGTTGGATGGTTTGCCTTTTGACATACTAAGGTGACCCCTGACATTCTTCCAGGTGGCCTGTGTCCACCATCGGAGCACTTGACACTGAAACTATGTCCTCTTCTCTCTCCTTTGTACCAAGGCAGCCCTGACAATCTCTTAATCAGTCCTGGTTACTTTGGAAGAACATGTCTACAGTTGCATAGGCCCATGAGTCAGTCAAGCAGTCAGTCAAACAAGACACCCACATTCTTCCTCCATCTTGTCCTGGCCCCTTGGGTTCAGACTGGCAGTGTTTCTGTTGGGGTGGCTGATTAGTGTCTGAGTTCACACCCATACTTATCAGGGCTGTTCACCACACCCTGGCCGCTCTCTTCCTAATATACCTTTATTATTAATTATTATTTTACACCATAGGTAGGTTACATCCAAATCTTTAAGATCTGCCTTTGTTTGTTTGTTTGTTTGTTGAGTTATTCAACTTTTGTTTTTTGAGACATGGTCTCACTATGTGGTCTTAGGTGGCCTAGAGTTCATAATGAAGACCAGCCTGGCCTTGAACTCCTGAGTGCTGGTATCAAATGCACCACCACACCCAGCTCAATTCATCATTTCCTCTTAGATTTGCTATGAGCTGGCAGGAGTGACAAAGCCCCTTCTCCAGCACTTTGCTTAGAAATCTCCTCAGCTAAATAAGCAACTGCCTCACTATCAATGGCTACCTTCCCCAACACACTAAAGCACAAAGGTGGCTCAGCCTGGATCTTTGCTACTTTGCCTGGATTCTCTCTGCACTGTCTAAGAATACTCCTGATTTCTCTGTAAGCCCTCACCAGAACTCCCCCCCCCCCCCAATCTGTTTCTAGTATACTGAAAACTTCTCCAGCCTCCACCCAGTAACTGGCTCTACAACACCACCTACAGCTTTACGTGCTTATGACACTAGCTCTGCAGTCCTCGGTACAAGTTCTCTGGTGTGGGCTGCTCTAAGAGTCTATAAGAACCGGGCATTTATTTTCCCCTCTGTCTTGGAGGGCAGGAAGTGCAAGATCCAGGGTATTTCATACAGATTCCCTCCCATTACATCTATAGTCATACTATATTTTAATTTAATTTAACAATACTTTTACATTTACTTATTTACTTATGGGCATATCATTTGTGTGGATGCGTGGGTGCCATTGATTCTGTGGGCATCACAAGATAACCTTACAGGAGTCAGTCCTCTCTGACCTCTGACCTTGCGAGTCCCAGGGATGGGTGGAAAGTGTCTTTACCTGCTGAGCCCTCTCACTGGCAAGAGATTTATAGTTTAGCGAACACCCCTTCCTGGCTTATTTAACTGCTCACTGTGTCCTCACCAGCAGAGGAAGAGTTCTTATTTCTTTTTGACAAGGATGCTAGTCTTGCCACATTGGGGAATATTATAGCACATCAGAGGTTTCAACCAATGCATTTGAAGGGATATATTTAGTCCCTAACACCACCACTGACAGAGTAAAAGATTCCAAGTATAGGAATTCTGTGTTTGGGGGCATGCTGTAACACAGGCTTTTTGGGAATGAAGCCTCTTGCTCTCACTCTCTTCCTTCTTTCACATTTGTTGTTTCTTGTTAACAGAGCTAGGGGCCAAGCACTGGGCCTTCTTCCTGTTAGAAAAGAACTGAGTTTTATCCCAGCCCCGAACTGACGCTTTTGGCAGAAGCTGAGAAGGTAGAGGATGCAGGGAGCTGAAGAGAAGAGGAGAGGCCCACCCCACATTGCTAGGGCTGTCCTCCAGCGCAGGCCTCATCCCGGCAGGTTCTTACCCACTTCACACCCACTCATCATTTGAGAAGAGATGCTCCTGGTTTGAAAGGAGCAGCAAACACTAGGGGCTGATCAGAGTGGACAGAGCTGATCTTCCTGAAGCTTACAGCCAGTCAGGAGACCGTCACCAGGTGACACAAACTTTCACCTTACATGTCTATACAAGAGCCTGTATTCTCTCTGTCACATTGTCATGGTGGCTCCTATCCAACTTCTAGGACCAGGTAAGTGTGGTTTCCTTTGCATAGGGTCCTCTCCTTTCCCAAATCTGAGTTCTAAGTGTTCCCAGAAGGCAGCAGCTACCTCCTCCAAAGGCCACTTCAAAGGAAAAACTGTTAACCAGAGTATCGCCCTGTACCTACTGTGGCCTGTTTCCTGCAGGGAGAAGACAGGCTCTGGATATTAACCCCCCAGAACATCACAGACAGACAGACGAACCAAGAGCAAGAATGGAGGCTAGAAAGTTGTGCTTGGGGCTTGGAAAACAATGGGAAAGGCCATTATCAAGATTCCTACCTGATGGACTAACAAGAGGCTAAGTCTGGCTTCCCAGCTGCAGAAGCCACAGCCCCCCAACTCAGCCCAGTCTTACTGAGCCTTGCAAATGCAAAGGGTCTCCAGGAAAAGACCCAGAGGCTGTGTGAGCCTTGGCTTCACCACACACCAGGTAGGTAGTCAATCACCTTGGCCGGGCAGCATTGCCTTCCCGTGCCTCAGTTGAAGGACTTAAAGAACACAGAAAAAGTGGTTCTCATTTTACAAGGGCGAACTGCTTAGGAAGCTTGTAGAGCCCAAGAATCTGTGAACGAAGGGGCTTGATGAAGGCCAGCTTTCCCCACCCACCCCCTCAACACCGGTGGCCCCTCTCTGGTCCTCTCTAAACCTCCACTGACTGATCCGAAAGATGGGAACGGTAATAAGAGTCCTTGAACAAGAATAAAATTCACTATAATCTCTCGTGTCCATAGATGATGATCATTGTGTGCCACATGCCAACTCACCATTCCAGGGCTTCTAGTGCTGCCTCATGAGGCACCTTCTCTGGTCTCATGCTCCAGTGAACCCCAGGACCTCTTTTCCTGAGGCCAGGCTACCTGGAAGTCTGCTGCATGTTAAGGGAGGTCCATAGGACCCAGGAAACCCACAGATGGTTTACCACCAGAGGGTGGTGGTGAGCGCTCTGGGGATTACACTCTGGTTATTTCTAGAAAGAAAATAAAAATTGCTGCCCAGGAGGCTAGGGCCCGGCAGGGAGCGACTTATCTCCAGGATGGCTTCCTGCTCCGATAGTAGCAGCCACAGAGGCCCAGGGCACCGAGGCGCCGAGGAGCCCTGGCTCGGCCTAGGACTCTCCAGCAGCGCCCCGCCAGCCTGGAGGGGGGTGAAATGACCCTAGCCAGCATCATCGTGGCCTCCCGACGGCACCAAAGGGGTCGTCCTTTGGTTGTTGTTGTTCCCACCCGCCATGTCACTCCCACCGGCGAGGTCTCCCAATCAAGCACTTACTCTGCAGACAGCGGGCAGCAGCCACCCAGAACGCGAGCAGCCCCAGCGGGATGCCTTGGGTCCTTCCCACGCACCGCGTTGGCCTCATGAGCGAGCCGCAGGCTGTATTGCCCCCTGCATGGGCCTCGGGGAGGCGGCCGGTCCAATGCTCGCCTTCAGCAGCGCCCCGCACCGCGGCGCGCCAGCCTAGCCTTCCAAGCCTTGGCTCTGCTGCTGCTCTGCTCCCAGCTCGGCACGTCTCAGCTCAGCTGCTCTGCCGGAGGCAGATGAGCAGATTGTACTCTGGTTCAACCAGTTCCAGGAGAAAGGGAAGAAAGGAGGAAGGGAAGAGGGAGGGAGGAGTGAGAGAAGGAAGGACTCTGAATGTGGAAAGATATGGGATAATGGGAAGGAACGCACTCAGAGGCACTAATGGCAAATAATGAGCAATTTCCTGAGAGTCACACCCACTGTATCAATTCAAGGTTCAGCGCCGGGAGGTGACTAGGAGAGAGGGCTAGTGCTAGCTGCTGCCAAAAGACCCAAAGAGACAATTTGAGGGCTTCATGGGCAAGGGGGAGGCTTTTAGGAAAGCCAAATGACAGCCTGGGAGTGTGAGGAGTGATGGAAGATGGATAGGAAGACTCAGGCTGGCTCTGGTGGAGTAGATGGACAGTCATGGTCCATCCATCCATCCATCCATCCATCCATCCATCCATCCATCCATCCATCCATC